ACTTAAACCAGCACTCCCTTGTCTCACCACTAGCTATACGGATCCACCCACCCACACTCATTCCCCCCCTCTCTCTCTCTCTCTGTGAGGTGGCCAGCCGGCCGCCCGCTATGCCGCCACCACCTTCTGGCGGATGAGTGCGGCTGTGCGAGGGTACCGCTCATCTGGGCGGCGCTTCCAGCCGACAGGGGGCTCTGTGGTGCAGATCCTCAGGCTCAAGTCGACGCAGGCAAGGAACTCGTCAGCCGCCTTGTCCCCACACAGAATTAAGATCCCCCAATGGCGCAGCTCATTTGCGTTGTCGACCCACCAGTGGCCCGCTTTGCGGCAGCCGTTCCACTGGCCCCGTGAGTGCAGCATGATAGTCAATGCGACATACTCTGGCGGTGACCCACACGTAGTCGTCGGTCGGAGCCCTCCTGGTGCTCGACAGCAACACCACACGGGTGCCCTCTTTGTAACGACTACACGCAGACCGTCCCATCACCTGATGAATGAAAAGAAGACAAGCAAACAACGAAATGAATGAATCATTGACGGTGGCACACGATGAGTGTGTGTGCCGTGCTTGACTCACCTCTGCCTGATGCGCAGCACCAGCAGATGAAGCCGCCGCCGCCGCTGCCATGGCGACACACTCAAACACGGCTGACGAGAAGAGGACAGGTGTGTGTGTGTGCGCATCCCTCTCGGCATCTCTCTCGTCATTCGCCCGTCGCCTACCAGCGGATGTGTCGAGCAGAATTGAATGAGCGATGGCTCTCTTTCAGCCGAGGCTTTTATCGAGGAGGCCGACCTCCGGGGCACTCACGGATTGCAATTCGCTGTACAACACGCCAATCCAGACATCGAAGGGCGAGCTCATTTGCCGAGCTCGCAATCATCACGGCCGAGAATGATTGATCACTGCAAATGGGACCACATCGACGTCAGCGACGACAATGGAGAAGAAACAAGCAGCCGCAGGCAGCCGACAGTCACGAGATTTGATGCGCCGCAGAAGGTGACGTTACGGTGGCGGCAGAAAGGACAAGTCCCTCATCCGGCCGTCGGCAAGTGCTGCTGCTGCCCCTCCGCCCCGCCACGGGTCGAGAAAACCGAAGATCTGCCGCGGGTAATGACGGGCGAGGCGGTGAGTGGCCTGCCGAAGAGCTGATGGGCATCGAACAGGGGCCCTCCCATTGTGTGCGGGGCCAGGCGGCCTGGCCAGGGGATCTGACAAGGAATGGCAGGGCCACTGGCAGACACCACTACCCACCCGTCTCTGGCCCGCCCATGATGATGATGAGCGAGGCGATGAGTGGCCTGCCGAAGAGCTGATGGACATGGACAGGGGCGCTCCCACTCTGTGCGAGGCCAGGCGGCCTGGCCAGCGGTTCTGACGAAGAATGACGGGCCACTGACAGATACTACTGGTCAGGGAGGGAGGGACAGCATGACACAGATGCATGGTTTCTTTCCCTGCGGTCAGGTCTCAGTCGCCTTATGGGCTGACGGTGAGTGTTGTTGTGCCGCCAGACACCGGTGGGCGGGATGTCCGCATCAAGATGGACCAACAGCACAGCACCTCGCCGCCACGTGCAAAGGGCAGACAGACAGACAGACAGACAGACAGGTACCCACCCAACACAACCACATATTCACACAGAGGGATCCGCACACTCTGTCTTCTCTCTTCCTCTCTGCTGCAATGGTCGATGGACAGTGGAGCATCGCGTCAAGACAGACGAGGACGGCTGGACGTGGAAAGTCATCGACTTTGAAGACCCCCAGGCCACTGACAGCAGTGCCTCGGCGTCGTTGGCCATCTCGTCGGCTGGTGCAGCTGAGTTGCAGAAGAGCGAGCCGCCGAGCTCGGCTTGTCCGTCTGGTGGAGCCGCGTCTTATGACAGGAAAAGCCCAACATCGACACGGCCAGGTAGGTGATAATTGCTGGGTCTATGGCACACAGAGGATGTATGTTGATAGAGGGGGGAAAGGATCTATGTCAGTCACCCTATGCTGCAGGAGGCACATTCTACGTATCAGCTCCAGCTGCAAGAGAAAGGCGAATGGCCTGCTGCCCAGCCCATGTCGGTCCCCATGCAGCATGAGGGGGCAGGGGATGAATCAGCAGAGCAAGCATATCATCGTGATGGTGAATCAAGGGCAGCTCCGATATACCTGGCTGTTGCGTGCCTCATGTTGACTCGTACATTCAAGCCATTTCTGCGATGATTGAACGAATCACTACAGCTCTTTTGGCCTCACAAATCGACCGCCCCATGCGGTCTTCCAATTTGGAGGGTCTTTCGCCTCAAAAACGGAGCAAAAAAGCTCGCTCGAAGAGCTCGCAGGATAGAATCGTCGATTTGTGGAAGCGGAGAAGAGGACTTTTTATCGCCGGTGTTCGCTCCCCCCCTCCCCGTATCACCCACCCACCATCAGATGGCGCAGCAGGACGTGATCGACCTGCTCTCATCTGACGAGGACGAGCCTGATCAGGATGAGGACAGCCAGGGTCAGGGTGAGAGGGACCATCTCATGGCGGTCGAGCTGCACAATCAGCTCAACCAAGAGGCGGCTGGCGTCCTCAAAGAGGCTGTGCTCAATGCGGCGGTCATGCAGCAGCAGCAGGCTGAGATCCGCACCAAGCAGCGAGAGGCCAAGCGCTTCTTCAAGGATACAACCACAAGGTGTGCAGTGCGGTTGCAGTGTACGGTTGCGGTCTGGGGCTGTGTTCAGAGTGAGGGGGGCTGTGTGTGTGTGTGTGCAGTATTTCGGTGGTGAGCTGCTCGGCGGCGTGACCATGGTGAACATCAAGTGGGAGAAGAACTTGTTTACCGCGAATGGCACCATCTCCTATCCCGTAACTTGGCTTGCTCGCACACGAGAGAGAGAAACAGACAGACGATGGCATCACACATGACACCGATCAATCCATCTCCCTTGCCTCTGTCTGCGGTGTGCTGCGTGGTGTGCCGTCAGACTGACAAGAACCCCAAGGTGGTCATCAAGCTGTCCAAGGAGCGCCTACTGACCCGTAGCATGAAGGACATCAAGGCACGCGACAAATCACACACACATACACACACACACGGATGTGCAGAGTTTGGTTGTCCCCCGTGTTTTTCTTTTCTCCTTTGGTGCAGGAAGTGTTGCTGCATCTCATGATCCACGCGCACCTCTACGTCAAGTACGGCGACAAATCCAACGTACACACACAGGTATGGTAAAGCAAAGCAATGCCACGCCACGCAGGCAGCCATCTTTCCACTCACTCACCCACCTGCTTACACAGGCGTTTCTCACCAAGATGGAAGAAATCAACAACCACCCCGATACTCGCAAGGACGGTCAGGCAGGCCAAACGGGCACACACACTCACACAACGGTCAACACCTGAATGGCTGTGCGCATGTGTGTGTGTGTGTGTGTGTGTCGGCATCATGTCTGTGTGTGCAGATCTTAGTGTGAGCGTGAACCCTCTGGTGGGCCTCGACGACCCGGATATCAAACGCTGCTACGTGTGGCAGTGCAACGTACGCAACCACTACCACACACAGACGCCAAACGCCGTATTGGGTTGGCATGGGTGCGCGTGTGCAGCGATGTGGCGAGTTGCACTGGAAGCAGAGCAACAATCCCCCCGGCAGCAACGGGGAGAAGTGGTTCAAAACCCACCAGACCCTCTGCAGTGGCACCTGGGACCTCATCAACACACCTGCCGGCCGACCCCTCATAGGTGAGATAACACAACAAAAAGTCGCCTCCCCTCCCCTCCCCTTCCCTCCCCTCCTTCAACGATGTCTGCACTGTCACTTCATTCAGGTGTTGCCGTATCGAGCTCTGCTGGTCGTGCGTCGGGCGCTGCTGCTGCTGCCGGTGGTGGTGATGGGGGCGGTGGTGGTGTGTCGGGTCGTGGCCGCGGACGTCGTGCGTCGGGCCGGGGGCGGGGCGGACGTGCTAGCGGACCGGTGGGTGGCGCGTTTCCGGCGTTTGGTGGTGCGGGCATCCCCCTCGGTGGCGGCGGTGGGGTGGCCATCAAGCGTGAGCAGGACGACCAGCATCCTGAGGCCGTCGCCAATACGCCTCCTGCCAAGCGTGCGAAAAGCGAGCCGGGATGCTGCCCCCGGTGCAACAAGCCCGTACCGGCACACGAAATGAAGCGCCACCTTCAGCTGTAAGCGAGCATACAGTCGATTGACCCAGAAACAGAGAAAGATGTACAGCACACACTCGTTGGATTGTGTGTTTGCAATAATCCCTCAGGTGTATCCGTGGCCTTGCGTGAGCACCGACACCGACACACCACACGGGCAGACCACATGGGGGCAGTCAGGCGGGCGAACGGTGCGTGAGGGCGTGATGCCCTGCCCAGGTTTTGTTTTTCTCTCGATGATCTATCGGTTTTGGTAGCTATGGTTGGGGGATCTTCGTTAGTGCAGGAGGGTGTGGCCAATTCCTTAGGAAGGATGGCTCTGCCTATCTTCTGATATGTATGTGTGCTGGCTGGGAAAGGGCTGGCTGGTGGAGCGAGATCGATGAAGCGGATTCAACTTTTTGCCTCTGGCAAGGCAACGATATTTTATCCACTCTGGCTTGGCTGGTTCGTTCATATTTGTATACCCTCTCTATCTACGCGTGTGCATACAGATGTATCGGCGGGACGGAGGGCGGGTGGGGTGGTTGGGTGGTAACAGGACACTCTTACATCTTTCATGTGTGTGTGTGTGTGTGTGTTGCAATAGCTCTATGCCTTCAAGACCTCCGTGTGGATGCTTCCCTTTATAAGTATATCATCAGCCTCTATATCACGCTCCGAGCCCTGATTTCCATTGTGTCATTGTCACTGTCATTGCCACGCACACGCACACGCACACGTACACGCGCTCGACGACAAAATCCTCACTTGAAAACTCTTTCTCCGGCAGGCAGAAAGGCATGTCCGTCCATCCACACGACATGCAGCGGGCGGCTGACCGCAACAAACATGACGTGCAGCTCTTTCGCATGCAGTGCATCCAAGCACAACACACCACACGCAGCGATGAGAGAGAGAGAGAGAGAGAATACAGGCCAATCCGGCCCCAGGCCTGCATCGGTTCTTCTGCTGGAGCAGCACCGTACCGTGTCAGGCGACAGAGGGCCTAGAAAGACGAGCAACCAAGAGCAAGCGGCATCAGACGATAGTGGTGGGTGACACTATTGACAGCAACGGCTCGAAGGCGGGAAAGTGAGATAGTGAGGAGTATCTACACACACACGTGCTCATGCGGGCCAGTGAGTGCAAAACCGATGAGATCATTGATGTGATTATGGCAAACAGTCAGACACACAGACAGCCCGCAACTCAGTTGAAAAATCCGAACCCCCGGCCCAATCGAACCATGACACCTCTCTCTCTCTTCTCTGCCTACAGCACGGACGAGACGAGCCCCCACCTCTCTCTCCTGTCTGTCTCCGTTGTGTGCGATGTGACCGTCCGGTCCGTGCCTCCTCGTGGAGGAAAAGGGGCCGACACGATGGATGCAGCCATGTATGTCATCATGGTGGTGTGTCTGCCTGCCTGCCTGCCTATGAGAAGATGTCCCGTCTGTCCTGGGCGATCAGGTTCAAAAACTCGGCACGGGTCTTGTGCTGACGCCTGACAATCACACACACAGACAGACAGACAGACAGAGCCATGGTGGGTGGATGGATGGATGGATGGATGGCGTCGTGTACCCACCCACCCACCTGAAGCAGCCGAGGACGGCGCTGGTGATGGTGAGAGCGCCCGGCTTCGACACGCCACGCATCACCATGCACATGTGCCTGAACACACACACACACACACAGAGAGAGAGAGAGATGCACACAAGTTTGTGTCGATGTGTGTGGATGTGTGTGTGTGTGTCGGCCGCTGTCTGTCTAGCTTATGGTTTTGTCGGTCGGTCGGTTCCGTTCGTACGTGGCGCGTATGACGACGCCCACGCCCAGGGGCTTGACGGCCTCGTCGATGGCCTCGGCAATCTCCTTGCACAGACGCTCCTGCACCTGCACACGCACAAGCAGAACACAACACAACACCGACATCTCATCCGGCCGGACACGGCGGGTGAATGGAATGCGTTGGCTGACCTGCAGCCTCCTGGAGAACATTTCAGCGATCCTCGCAAGCTTCGACAGGCCCAACACCTTCCCGTTGGGAATATACCTGCAACCACACACACACACACACACGCGTCCACTCGCCTTAATTTCTCTCTTGTCAGTATGCGCTGCGCGAGTGTGTCTGTCTGTGTCCGTGTGTGTGTGTATGTGTGTGTGTGCCGACCCGATGTCGCATTTGCCCATGAAGGGCAGCAGGTGGTGCTCACAGAGCGAGAATATGTTGATGTCCCGCACTATGACCATCTCCTTGCAGTCCACATCAAAGATGGCGTCGTTGACCACATCTGGCCATCCATCCGAGCCATCCCACAACCAACACACACACACACACACAAACACACACGCTTCTTGCGTTCTTCTGGTGGCTTTCTGCGCGTCACTTCCTTACCTGCCAGCTTCTGCTTGTATCCCGACGTGAGATACGACATCGACTCTGCATAACGCATGGGCGTCTTCAACAGACCGTCACGGCTGGGATCCTCACCCAACTCCTGCGTGGACGGACCCACCACCACACACACAAATGGATGGATGGCATTCACCCTCTCTCTGTTTCTCCGGCCTGTTCTCCTCTCCTCCCCTCGCTCTCTCACGCACCTTGATGATCTTCTCCATGGAGTCAGCGATGTTCATGAGACTCAGCTCCTCCTCAGGCTCGTGCTGCTTATTCGACGAACCAGACGTCGGGAAACTCGGCGGCGAGCGGCGCAAATGCCTCTCAGTCAAACCACCCGGCACACGCAGGCGATTCAACTCACCCTCCGCCCCCCTCTGCTGCTGATCGCCGTTCTGCGCAGCCACGGCCTGGAAGGTCTCGGGCAACGTCTCTCTCACGCCGTGCAATGGGTCGTTGCTCCGTGAGATGGGGCTGGGCGAAGAGGATGGCCGGGAGAAGGACATCTCTTCGTGGTCATCGTCCTGCACGCGGCGATAGCGATCATGGTGCGAGTTGGAGGGGTGCATGGGCAGACGGCTAATGGGGTTGGCGCCCTCCTGACCCTCGCCATCATCCGCAGCCTCCTCATCCTCTTCTTCTGCGTGCTGGTGGTGCTGAGGGGGCTGTGGTGGGTGGCCGTTGAGGCCATGGCCGTTGTGGAGCACCGACGTCTCGACAGGCCCACCGGCAGCAGCGGCGTCACCCACATGGCCATTCTCCACCCCCTGCTGACCACCCGCTCCCGCGCCCCCCCTCCCTCCCCGCCTGTTCTTCCTGCTGCGATTGTTCCGCCCGCGGCTCTTGGCGCCTCGACCCGCACCGGCAGCCACCTCCATCGCTACGATGCCGTCGTGGATGGGGTAGGGGTGCACGCCGTTGGGCAGAGCGCCGTTCACCATCTCGCTGTGGGCGTCATGAGTGTGCTGAGGAGTGGGCGGATGTGTCGGTGGGTGTGTGTGGGGGATAGGGTGCGCTGCCGCTGCAGGGCCTTTGCGCCGCCACTGGGACGGCGGGTGGTGAGGCTGACCCTGGCGGGTGGTGTTCATTCGCTCAGTCAGCTGTGTGGCCGGCTAGCTGCAGAGAAGTGGCTGAACGACAAAGGGAGAGAAGGATATGTGTCAGTCAGTTGCCACATGGCAGTCACATGGCATGCATCTTGATCTTCCTCCAGTGTCTTTCCGCTTCTTAGTACCTGTCTTCTCCGGCACAGACAGCCCTCCCGTGATGAGAGAAGCCAACTCAGCGTCCCGCAAAGATGATTCCTCCCCGGTAGTACCTCCAATGTCCCTCCGACTCCTTTTTCCAGCCGACCGTCTGCGAGCTAGGCCAGCAGGAGCTTTTCCGCTCCCCCGGAAGGTTGCTGGTGTACCTCTATACTCGAGTGTCAGCTGCGTAAGCTCCACAAAGCAAAAGCGGCCCTTTGCGACATCTTCTTTTCCCCAGTGGATCGTCGATCCACTCACACGTCACCGACAGACAGAAAGAGGCAGCGTTTTCGGCAGCGTCGAGCAGCGCATCAGCGTGAGATTGCTTCGCATCTGAGATCGAGAAGCTTGTTTGCAGACATCTGCCTGTCTGTGCGGGAGAGAATGAAGGCGTAGAGTATCGCTCAGAACGAACAATGGAGCTGATTGGGAGTGTGCTGTCAGTGTTGTCGTTGCTGCTGGTGGCTGTGGCGCCCGTGTTGGGTCAGGGGAGAGGCAGGGACTACTATCGCATTTTGGGCGTGTCCAGGAAGGCCACTGATGACGAAATGAAGAAGGTCTGGCAGTCAGCCAGTCACTCGCTGACAGTCAGGCAGCACCCATCACACAGAGAAGCACCTATACGTCACACCATCTCTGATATCTCTGATTCTTCTATTCCATTGCTGTGTGGGATCTGTGTGTTTCATGCTGCCGTCCGTCATGCCGTCATGCCCCCAGGCGTATCGCGAGAAGTCCAAGCAGCTGCATCCCGATAAGAATCCCGACGACCCCAAAGCGCAGGAGAAATTCATGGACCTCGCCAACGCATATGAAGTCAGCAACGACACACCGGACAGACAGACAGACAGACACACAGACAACATCTCCCTCTCTCCCTCTCTGCCTGCCTTTATTCATTCATCACGTACTGCGTGTGCAGGTTTTGAGTGACAGCGAGAAGCGTCAGATCTACGATCGCTATGGCGAGGAGGGCCTCAAGCAGCAGCAACAGCACGGCGGCGGCGGCGGACAGGGGTTCCAGGACCCTTTCACTGTCTTCGAGTACGTCAGTCAGGCAGTTTGTCATCGGATGCATCCCATCGATGCATCCAGCACTTTGACTGACCATCCCATCCGTGTGTCTGTCTGTGTTGTCTGTCTGTGTTGTCTGCTCTACCCTGCACTGCACTGCACTGCAGGCAGTTTTTCGGTGGCGGTGGTGGCCGGGTCCATTTCCAGTTCGGCGGAGGCGGAGGGGGCTTCGGAGGTCAGTCACACTGACACGACAGGACACCGGCGTCTGTCTGTAGCCAGTGATTGCCTGATTGATATCGGTGTCGGTGTGTAGGGTTTGGTGGTGGTGGTGGTGGTGGTCGTCAGCGTGCTCGTCAGGAGCAGCGGCCGAGCCACAACCTCTACGACGACACAGACGTGCTGCAGCTGGGCAGCGGCAACTTCGAGAAGGAAATCAACGACCGCGACTGGGTCATGCTGGTGAGTGGAAGCTTCCGCGTGTAGGAGAGCATTCAGTCAGAGGCACATCCTGACTGACGCTGTGTGTGATGTCACTCTTCAGGTAGAGTTCTACGCACCATGGTGCGGCCACTGCAAAGAGATGAAGGATGACTACGCCAAGCTGGCAACCAAGATGAAGGGAATCGTGCCGGTCGGCACACACACTCACAGACACACACACACACACACGCGACGAGCATGTCAAGGGATCCTCGCTTCTTTGTTCTACATGGCTGCACACATCAAATCCGTCCGTGCAGGTGGCGGCAGTGAATTGCGAGAAGCACCGGGACGTGTGTGAGGAGATGCAAGTCACGGGCTACCCCACGGTGTACCTCTTCCCAGAAGACAAAGAAAAACCTCCAGTTGTATACGAAGGCGAAAGGTACACACACACACACAGGCGCACACACGGAGATAGAAAGACAGAGAGAGAGAGAGAGCCTTTCCACTCCACTTGACTCCACTCGCCGGTCTCTCTCTCTCTCTCTCTGTGTGTGCAGGACATCGGCAGCGATCGGTCACTGGCTCTCCCGCCGGCTCCCCTCCCACAGCACCACCCTCACCACCAAAAACATCAACGACTTCATCAACAGCGACTCATCACTGGCTAAAGTCGTTCTCTTCACCGACAAAAAGGCCGTCCCGCCTCTCTTCAAGGCCCTCGCAAAGGAGTTCAAGACGCCCCCGCGGCTGTCGATGGCTGTGGTGTTTGCCAGCGACAAGGACGTGGTGGACCGGTTCAAGCCGCCAAAGTTTCCCAGCATTTTGCACCTGCAGGACTTCGACAAGCTGACGGTACGCTCTGACGGACGGACGGTCGGACGGAGGGAGGGAGGGAGGGAGCATGAGTGGATGTGACATCCACTGTGTTGTGTGGTGGTGTGCAGGGTGAGTGGCTCAAGGCGACAGCGAATCGTGAGGTGCTCTCGCTCTCGTTCAGCCGAATCGTCGCACAAGTGAGCAACGAGCCGGCAAGATACTTACACACAATGCAGGAGGAAGTCACGCCCCCCTCTCTGTCTCCCTTCCTTTGTGTATGGCTGTGTGCAGCAACGAGCGTCTCAGGGTCCGTACGGCGGCACTGGAGGGTCTTTCCGGGAGCTGACGAAGAGGCGGACCACCAACGGAGAGTGCGCACCATCAGATGGACAGGTGAGGGAGGGGCTGGGTCCACGAAAATGACCAAAGTGTGTGTGTGTGTGTGTCCGTTACTGCCTGCAGTATTGTTTCATCTTGTTCAAGTACGGCGGGAGTGTGGATGAGGGTGTGCACGAGACGGTCAAGAAGCTGGCGGAACGGTACAAACGAGACCCTATCAAGGTCGTCTGGGTCGACGCGACACAACAGGTGGGTGCGTATACAACAAACCACACACAACTCGCCGGTAGGTAATACGGTGTGTGTGGTGTGGTGTGTTCTGAATGTAATGTGTGTGGTCATCCATCAGCCCCAGTTTGTCGCTGCCTTTGGGTTGGCCAGTGGGTGCAACAGCAGCTCGCCGGAAATGTGCCACAAATTCGTCGCGTACAGGCCAAAGAGGCGGAAATTTAAGGTGACTGACTGACGTGGCTTTCACCCCACTCACCTCACCCATGGCGCAGCACACAAACCCATATGTGTCTGTCTGTCTGTCTGTCTGTCACACAGCTGTATGAGGGCGACACTTGGGAGTCGGGTGCGCTGTCTTCCTTCATTGATGGGGTCATCGGGGGCGACTCCATGCCCAACAAACTCGACAAAGAGCCGGAGCTTCTCAAGCTCAAGACGGAGCTGTGACCCGACCCGGAGGTGTCTGTGTGTACATACCGCGTGTGTGAGGCCTGCCAGGCCCGGGAAAGGCCGTCGGGCTCTGGCTGGCTCACGCACCTGGTCCATGCTGCTACGCTATGCTATGCTATTATCTATCTGTGTAATTGGGTACGGACTTGCCTCCTTTGCCTGGCTACTCCCTTGTCTGAGTCGAAGCTGGCTGGCTGACGTATTGGCGTAGGTCGGTCGGTCGGTCAGTCAGTGTGTATAGCGTTCACTCACTCATCCATCCCATCGATTCCTTCCTCCATGCTGGCTGCTAGTGAAGGAAGGTTGTGTGAATACGGCAGACAGAGTGAGTGAATGAGTGGCTTCGTGAGGTGCCAACCAAAGCTTGCTGGCTGGATTTTGCGTGCACCCTCCCTCCTCGTGCCCTCCTTGATTGCCTGTTTTGTGCATGGCTGTAGCCATGTATGCCTTGGACAAACAGACAGACCACCATCCGCCATGCGTTCACCAGTACATCAACTTATTCTGCCTTCACACAACTGTACAACACAACACCGACACACAAACTCACGCGGCCGTGGTCACAAGCTGCGCCCCACCATACTGGCCAACCCCCACACCCTTGCTGTCGTCCTGTTGGTGCTGCATGGCAGTGGAGGGGTCTTCGTGACCCGCGGGGCCCAGCACGATGCACCTGACGTGGTGCACCTGACGATAGTTGACCACCAGCCGGGGGTCGGACGGCTCGTACTCCTTGGCGGACTCAAAGTCCTTAGACACACACGCACACACACACACATTCGTATTTGAGCATCCTGACACCACTGACAGTGAGTCGACGCACAGTACGTACGTCGGCAGCCTCTTCGTATGCCTTGAGAGCTTTGTATGAGAAGGCCCGCCTGAACAGTGCGCGGGCGTTCCTCGGCTGCACCTCCAGCACACGAGTGAAGTCCTCCAACGCGTGGAGATGGTCACCCACAACCTGAGTGTGAGACATGGCGAGACCTGACACGTGCTGTGGTGTTAGGCATCGTGTGACCGTATAGGGGTGTGTGTGTGTGTGTGTGTGACCTGAAGGCTCTTGGCCCGTTCGTGCATGTAGTGTGGCTTGTCCCCACTCCGCTTCACAGCGGCGTCAAAACACGGCACTGCGAGCGGATGCTTACCTGATGCACACACACACGCACAGCTTCCTTGTGTCTCTCTCGGCGGCATGCATGGCATTTCCCTCCCTACTCATCACCAAGGTTAGCGTATGCGAGTCCCATGTGGTAGTAGAGGTCGGCCTGGTGGGGTGCTGCGAGGTTGTTGGCAATGGCCCTCTTGAGATCCATTATCACGTGCACATACCGGTGCTCGCCCTGGGCATACCTGCAGACAGGCAGGGACGACCAACACGACAGAGACGCTTCCCTCCATCTATCTGTGCGCATGGATGGATCGTGCACTTTATTTTGTGACTGACCGTGTGAGCCCCCGTTTGTAGGAGAGGTGGGGGTCGGATGGGCTGACGCCCAAGGCAGTCGTCAGGTCCATCTCACCACGGTCATACAGTCCCTTGACACACACGCACATACAAACACACATACATCTGCCCTGTCTTCATGTGTCTCGGCGTGTGTCCCTTTCAATGTTTCAATGTTGCTTGCTTACCTGTTCGAAGAAACACTGTGCTCTTGTAGCGAGGTACTCGGTCACCTCAGGCGATGGGGGTGTGCCGTCTTCACTCACCAGAGGGCCGCACTTGGCCACAGCCACTGTGAGGTCCTCAACAGCCTGAGGCAGATTGCCCAATGCTCTGGCGCGCACCGCACACAGACAAACAGACATATACAATATTTGTGCCACTACTTGGGTGATGTCTTGTCTATCTGTACGCAGCTCACCTCAGGTCACCTCACTCACCTCCATGCCAGCCCCCGGTCGCTGTATATCCTGGCCAGCTCCCTGTTGCTCAGGGTCGGCACCTTCTCCCTCTCCTTCTCCTTCTCTTTGTCTTTGTCTTCTTTTGCCACGACACTCGGTGCCCTCTCCCTCTCCCTCTCCTCCTCAACTGCCTCCGCCCTCTCATCCCTTTCTGCGGGCTCTTCGGTTGGCAGCTGGCCCCCCTCCCCTAGAATGAGGGCCTTGTTGAAGTCTTGCAGCGCGTCCTGGTGTCTCTTCATCAGGTGCAGCACAGTGCCGCGGTTGTAGTAGTGCAAGGCGTTCAGGGGCTTTACAGATATGGCCAGGTGGAAGTCATCGTACGCCTGGGTGAGAGCGGGAGGAGGGGAAAGGGTGTTTGCAGCGGCGGATGTGTGGTTGTCTCCCGGCCGACCTTTTGGTAGGCGTCTTGTGTGTTCATGTCGCAGTACACCTTACCGCGGGCCTCGTACAAGGCCTCGGTCGCTGGCACCTCAGCAAATGCCTCCAGGGCCTTGTCATACTGACACACACACACTTGAATGAGCACCGAGGTCCGAACGTCTACACGATCTCACCTCCTTTCCCCTGTGGTACATGAGCCCCATGTGAAATCTAGATGGGTGGTGTGCCGTGTCCTTCTCGAGGGCCTTCTGGAAGTACTGTATGGCCCTCTCGATCTGCTCCAGCGCCTGATACCCCAACCTACGGGCAGCACAGAACCGGGACAACAGAACAATGAGAGAGAGGGCATTGCATAGGTGCTGTGTCTCTCTCTCTCCTCTCGCCCGATGTGGTGCCAGTAGACTGCCTTTTTGGGGTCAAGCTTGACAGCGGCGGAGTAGTCCTCAATCGCCGCATCGAAGGCCTTCAACGCATACTGACAGTTGCCCTACACGAAGACGGGAAAGGAAAGACAGACATGCAGTACAAATGAATGCCACGTGTGTCTATGTCCGGCTCTCCGCCTCACCCGGTTGAAGAAGTAGTGTGGCTCGGTGTCGTCTCTCTCAATGGCCGCAGTGAAGTCGTCTAGAGCAAGGTGGTGCTGGCCCATCTTGTCAAGCGCCAGCCCTCTGTTGGAGTGGTACTTGGCCGTGAGAGCCACATCGGACGGCTGTGTCTCATGCAGCAACTCCAACGCCTGCATGAGCAAAGTGGAAAGTGCTGTGTGGCGAAGGAAGGGTGTGTCCCTCTCTCTCTATCTCGTTGCTCACAGATGTGAATTCGCTGCTGGCCGTCTGATAGTCCTTCGCCTCACACAGTGAAAGCCCCAGCTGGTTGTGCGCCTCTGCATGGCTGTTGTCGAGGGACAATGCGTGCTTCAGGTCCTTGAGACTCTCGTCCAGCCTCTTGACCCTGCGATAACACATGCCCCTGTGGAAGAAAGCCTTGAATGGTGCAGACAGGCGCTTGTCGAGGGCCTGGCTGAAGTCATTGATAGCGGTCTGGAAGTCCTCCAGGTCGAAATACACCAGCGCACGGGAAAAGTAGTACTCGGGGTTCTCCTTCTCATAGCGCACGGCGTCGTTATAATCCTGCCGTTGCGAAATGATACATGTGCAGCGAGACGTGGCCTTCTGATTTTGTGTGCAAGAATGTCACCTTGAGGGCCTCTTGGATCCGCCCCAGTTTCCTGAAACAGTACCCACGGCTCCCTGCAGATCACCAAACCACCAACCATCAAACAGACACGTCCATCCCTCCCCGCATCTCACTTACCATAGTATTTGGCCACAGTGCTCTCCAGCCGAATGGCCATGGAGAAGTCAAAGAGAGCCCTCTGAAACTGACCCATCGAGATGAAACACCTCCCTCTCGTGAAGTAGTATGCAGCACGGTTCGGCCGCAGTGTGATGGCATCGGTGAGGATGGAGATAATGTGCTCGAAGTCCGCCTGGTTCTGGGCCTTCTTGATGAGCGTCTGGGCCGCCTTGACGAGGTCGGCCGCCTGCCGTGCTTTCACCTTGCCATCGTCGGACTGTGTGCCGCCGGTCTGCAGGTTGGTGGCGGAGCTGTCCTTCTTGTATGCCCGCATGATGCTTCAGGGTCACAGCCGTCTCTGCCGCCGTCTCTCTTTTGCACAAAGCAGAGCGCTGCACACAGATCCCGCTATAGGAAATCAGCTGCAGACGGACACGTTGCTGAACCAGATGGGCATGCAGCTCCTCGTGCGCGCTTCCTTCAGTCTCCCTTCGGCGCCCCCAGGACGCCCCCACGAGATCGCGAAAAGGATGGCGCCAATCGAGCCTTCAGCTCAACGGCAGGGTCCACAGACATGGGAGCAGACGTCCCGCACACAAGACGGCGGCCCCAGCTCGGGCCTCACGTCCCTCATGCAGACAACCAGCACATTCGCCTGCCCGCCGGACCTGCGCCAGCGGCTGTACCGCCAGGGCCAGGCCACATCGCCTCTCGTGAGAGGCAAAGCCGGCCACAAGCCACGCAAGCTATCCCCTCACCCACACAGCACCTCCCCTCCCCGCAAGATTCTCGCATTCTCGCCACAAACTGGCCCTACAGGAGCTCCCACGACGCTCGCCCTGCCGCCGATGGCATCCCTCCCCCCTTCCTCTATGGTCGTGCCGCACACCAACGTCAAGCCGCTGCCGATAAGGGAGCCGACCGGTGTTCGCGCGATGAGGAGTGTCAGTCCTGGGAGGAGGGAGGGCGAGGCGCCAATGGAGCTTGAAGGGAAGGAGGAGGGGGCGGGGGAGAGGAAGGAGCCCAACCTCAAGGAAGATCCCAACTGGATTGATCCCGCCGATTTTGTCGAGTTCATTCTCAACCATGAGTCGCTGACAGAGGAGTTTTGCTACATGAACAGGCAAGTGACCAAAGGACGGACGCTGCAATGTCTGCAATGTCTGTCTTGGTGTGTTTGCCCAGATCAGGTCCGTATGAGTTTCAGATCGTCCCGTTTTCGAAGATCAATCCGCACGACTACATGACTATCAGCCTGAGGGGGGTGACTCACTACCACCACGGGGAAGTCGAATTCACCACACTGCAGGTCAGAAAGTGACCGACCATCGACACACACATCCATCGGGCCCGGGAGAATGATAGCTTTTGGCCTGCCTCTCAGGAGTGGCAGAGGGACCAGGAGCTGTATCGTCGGATCATTGCCATTTCGTTCTTTGCGAAATACCGCAAATGGAAGATGTTCTCCGTCTGGAAGAGAATCATGAGGGACCACTCCTTCAGGTCAGCTCGTACACGACAGGCCAAAAGAGGAAGCAGAAGCATGATTTCTTGCGTACTCTTTTTCAGAAAGTGTGCCAAGACTTTGACCTCCAATCTATTTGTATTGGATTCGAGCTTGCGCGGCTCTCTGCTGAAGGTCCGCGCCTTGTGTTTCCGCCTCACCTCCTGGCCGCTCATACACTACGACCTCGACAGGACATACACACTCCAGGTAAGCCCGCAGAGCAATGGGCGATATTCAAACAATGATGTCTTTGTCTTTCTCCTCTCATTGCAACCAACAGGAGTTTTTGGACGTGCAGCAGAGAAGGCGTGGCGAGATATTGGCTGAGCTCAACACCATCTGGACCGCAATCCGAGACGAGGTGCTGCAGTCGTGTACATACTCACTCCAGGCCTTCCTCGAGGCCAACGGATTCGGACCTGGTGCGCGTGCCCTCGACGCTGAGTCACGACCTGACGACACGCATGAGGCCTCAAGGGCCGTCACAGGTAGATGTGCAGAGACTGCAGTCTGTCGACAATTTGTGTTGTCAATCTGTCCATCTGTCTGTCTCTCAGCAAACAAGTCTCGGCGAGGCGACACAAGTGCCATTGTGCCTGCTGCCGGTCGTGGTGCGGGGATGATTGTCCCTCGCCCGCCGCCCACCCAAGGCAAGATGGGCATGGGAGGCGACTCCAACATGTCTTACACCGAGAGGGCCACCACGCGGACTCAGTGCCGCAAGCTCACCAAGTTCATCAGGACGGCGCAGTATCTCTTCTCTGATGCCATTGCTAGCCTCGCGAGAAATTCGACTACCATGTATACATGGGAAAGAAGCGCACAGCGATGCAACAGAAAGGAGAGGCACTTGTGTCTTTAGGTTTTTGGATTCCTTGATAATGTTCATCGAGAAGCAGCAGAGGAGGGAGCTGGAGAACCAGGGCCCACAGGAGGCCGGCGGGAGCGAAGACTTCACCAAGAAGAGACGGCCCAGCCTGCGGGGCGGCAAGGGTCCTATGAAGGGACCCTCGGCCGACAGACCGGTGCGTGTATGTCTTGGCCACGTCGTGTCTCATTTCCATATCGTCTGTCAGATATTTGTAGTGAGTGTCGTGTTTGATCCAACAGGCATCGACTTCAATCCTTCGGGGTACGCACATGCACACACATGCAGATACAGAAAGGGACCTAAGATATTCTTGATTCGCTTCTTCCTTCCGTATTGCAGGCACAACTTCCGCGCTTCCATTGAAGCGGTCCTTCTTGATGCCGTGAGGACAGTGTGCAGCTGCCCGACATTCCTGCAGCTGGATGACTTCCAGCCCTTCACCGCCCCTCTCGCAGAGCTGGGCGATGACAGGGGCGAGGAGGCCACTGTCGACCTTTTCTCGCAGATTACGGCCGACGCCAGCTTCAAGAAACTCATGCGGGACATCGGCAGGAGGTTCGATGAGCTGTTCCATCTGCTGGTGGCACATGCAAGGCAATACCAGGTAAGTAACTGACTCGTTCAGCCAAGATCGTTTGTGCAAAGATATGCATTGTCGTGGCGTTGGTCTCTGCCCCAGGACTTCGTGACTATGTATGTCGAGAACGAAGGCACGACCCTTAGTGACTTCCAGGACGTCGAGCTGCTCGAATTTGCGTATGTATGGAACTTTAATCGACACCATACCGAATGGATGGTCTTGGTTGCCGACGGTCAGGAAGGCGCTTGACAAATACAAGAGCCAACAAGACAGCGTCAAGGCTCTGCAGACACAAGTGCGTGCGTGAATGGCTACACTCTGCGATTGGGGCTCGATGCATCGACCACTGGTGCCTTCCTTTGACAATCTCTGCAGGTGGATTTGGGTCTGTTTCAGCTGGATGGCACAGAAATGCAGAAGACACTGGTGCCATCACCGACGAGGTGCTGGCAACTCCTCACCAAGTACATCCCTGAGGTCAGTCGGCTGCACATGAACAAAGCGTCTGTCTGCCTCATGGATGCGTGTATGTGGTTTGCTAATACAGCTTGCGATGGACAAGACGGCTGAACTGACCCAGCAGCTGAAGGAAGCGAATGAAAAGCTGGCACAGCTGCCTGGCAACGTCGATGAGGTAGACGGGCTTCATAAAGCTTTTCCGTAATCATGGCTGCATTGTCCTCTGTCGATCTGTGCCTTAGTATGTCGAGTTCATGTCTCTGTTGAACGAAGTGCTGGACGGCGTGCCCGACACCGACCGCAAATACCAATACATCGCCGACCTCTTTGAGCTCCTCAACCAGCACGAGGTCAGGATCACCTCGACACAGAGAAACGCCTTCTTCGAGCTCGCTACCACCGTCAACGCCCTGAGGTTAGCATGCCATCAAGGAAAGTGATGTGTCTAATCGCCTCTTTCATTTGCAGGACCCAGCTGCAGTTCTCGCAAGAGTCATCTGAGAGCAACGTGTCCCGCTTCTCCAAAGAGCTGCAGCATGACATCCCACAGCTGTACAAGGACGTGGAGCGCGTCGCAGAGCGGCTTGAGGACAAGATCTTCGAGAACCCCAAGGCCAAGCGGGCTGAGGTGTTGGAAAGAATCGAGGAGATCGAAGAAATGGTCAAGGCGGCCAGCAGCGATGCTGTCAGATACAACAGGTACACTGCAACTCAATATATGAAGAGACACGATAATGCATGTATGTGTTTCGTGTGTGGGTTGCAGGTACCAGGAGGTGCTGAAGATGGATGTGACACCATTTGAGGAGGTCGAGGACATGAAGGGCAGCTTCCAGGTCAAGGCCAAGCTCTGGCGGTCCATCGACGCATGGGACAAGCTCAGCAAAGTCTGGAACGACACACAATTCTCAGAAATCGATGTCGAGACCATCCAAAAGGAGATACAGGTACACATCAGCTGCTCAGCTACATCACGTTGCTCAAACTTGTGTATATGTTGTATCATTATGGTCATCATGCAGGTCTATAACAAGGTGGCTTTGCAGTCCGAGAAGGCAATGCCTGAGAATCCCGTGGTCTTCCAGCTGAAGGATGTGGTGATCAACTTCAAGAATACCATGCCAGTCGTGCTCGCCCTCCGTAACAAGGCCCTCAAAGAGAGACACTGGACCAAAATCAACGAGCTCATTGGCCAGACATTGGAGCTCGACAACGAGGACTTCACTCTCGGACGTCTGCTGGAGATGGGTGTGGGACAATACACCGAGGACATCCAGGACATCAGCGGCAAGGCCACGGCAGAGCTGGCGCTGGAGGAAATGCTCGACAAAGCCAAGGGCGTCTGGCAGGACACACAGCTCACGGTGCTCTCCTACAAGGACTCCAAAGACGTCTTCATTCTGGGAGGCGTCGACGAAGTCATCGCCACGCTCGAGGACTCTCTCGTCACGATCTCGACCATTGCCGGCTCGCGCTATGTGGGTCCGATCCGCGATGAGGTCGAGGGCTGGCAGAAGAACCTGATTCTCTTCCAGGAGACGCTTGACGAGTGGCTGCAGGTGCAGCGCAACTGGATGTACCTCGAGTCGATCTTCTCGGCGGGCGATATCCGCAAGCAGCTGCCGTCTGAGTCGCAGAAGTTCTCTGCAGTGGACTCCCAGTGGAAGGCCATCATGAAGGAGACCAACGAGTATGGGGTAGCCTTCAAGGCGTGCACCAAGACCGGCAGGCTGGAGCTGTTCAGACAATTCAATGAGACACTCGATGAGATACAAAAGAGCCTTGAGGACTACCTGCAGGTGCGTCTTCCAGTGAATACTCACACATATGTAGCCCTTCATGTGTCTGTTGTCCACAGAGCAAGCGTGAGGCCTTCCCCCGCTTCTTCTTCCTCTCCAACGACGAGCTGCTGGAGATCCTTGCGCAAGCACGCCGACCTCAGGCCGTCCAGCCCCACCTTCGCAAGTGCTTCGACAACCTCGTCAAGCTGCGATTGGGAGACGACGCACGAAGCGCGGTATGCAACCAACGACTGGCTTCACCGATTCACGTCCATCAATGTGACGTTTATCTGCAGGACATTCACGCAATGATATCAGGCGAGGGTGAGGAGGTGGAGTTCTACAAGGTCATGAAGGCACGAGGTCCCGTGGAGAAGTGGCTGCTGGAGGTGGAGGACCACATGGTCAAGTCGCTGCAGGTGGTCGTCAAGAACGGCTGGAAGGAATACGCCATGCCCTCTCGCAAGGACTGGGTCGCTAACTCGAAGGCACAGGTCGTCAGCTGTGTCTCACAAATCATGTGGTGCTCGGAAACTGAAGAAGTCCTGCACAGTAAGCAGGCACGAACACGCACATGCCATGCCTTGCAATGAAGCACTGTCTGTGTGGTGCAGGTGACGATCCCCTAAATAAGATGAACGATTGGTTCGACAAGAATGTGGAGCAGCTGAGCGACCTGACGGCCTTGGTGCGAGGGAAGCTGTCATCAATCCAGAGAAAGAGCGTGGTGGCCCTGGCCATCCAAGATGTGCACAATCGAGATATCGTCGACGAGCTCAGGAAGGCACAAGTCACCGACGTCAACAAGTAAGGTCGTCCCTTTGCCTTGCCTTTTCTCCCTGCTTCATGCAATCACCACTGTCTGTCTCTGTCTTTTCCTGCAAACAGTTTCAAGTGGCAGCAGCAGCTAAAGTACTACTGGGACACCGACGAAGACGACTGCATCATCCGGCAGGTCGACGCCCGCATCCGGTTCGGCTACGAGTACCAGGGCGCCACGTCCCGTCTGGTAATCACCCCGCTGACAGACAGGTGCTGGCTGACCATCACGGGAGCACTTCACATCAAGCTGGGAGCTGCGCCCGCGGGCCCTGCAGGGACGGGCAAGACAGAGTCAACGAAGGACTTGGCCAAAGCCATCGCCAGGCAGTGCGTCGTCTTCAACTGCTCTGACCAGATCGACTACAAAATGATGGCCAAGCTCTACTCTGGTGACCAACACGGATTCAGGGAAGGGCAGTGTGTGATGATGTATGTGTCTCCTTCCTTTGCTGTGTGCAGGTGTGGTGACTGCGGGTGCGTGGACGTGCCTTGACGAGTTCAACCGTATCGACATTGAGGTGCTGTCCGTCATTGCCCAGCAGCTGCTTACGATCCGTGTGGCATTGCTGGACGGCAAGAGCGAGTTCCTGTTCGAGGGCCGTGTGCTCAAGCTCAAACCCACATTGGGCGTGTTCATCACTATGAACCCTGGCTATGCAGGCAGAACAGAGCTGCCGGATAACCTCAAGGTACACAGACACCATACGTTCTTGCTGCTGCTGCTGCTGCTCTACGCCAAGTGCTTTCTCTTCTCTCAGGTGCTGTTTCGTCCAGTGTCCATGATGGTGCCCGACTACACACTCATTGCCGAGATCATGCTGTTCGCTGAGGGATTCGGGGAGGCCAAGAAACTGTCGGGCAAGTTCACCAAGCTGTACAAGCTCTCCTCCGAGCAGCTCTCACAGCAGGACCACTATGACTTCGGTATGCGTGCCGTCAAGTCGGTGCTTGTCATGGCCGGCGCTTTGAAGCGAGCTGAGCCGGACCTGTCAGAGGACATCGTGCTCATCAGAGCCATGCGGTGAGAGACACGAAGAAACGACAGCTAACAGGAGAGAGTACAGGACTGTGACTATGCAGTGACTCTAATGTACCGAAGTTTTTGGCGCACGACCTTCCTCTTTTCTACGCCATTGTGTCGGATCTCTTCCCTGGCGTTGAGGTTCCTTTCATCGACTACGGCGAGCTTCAGTCGTCTATCGAGGCGTGCATGGCGGAGGGTGGCTACCAGGTGCACGAGCCCCTCATCAAGAAGGTCATCCAACTGTACGAGACATTCAACGTGCGCTTCGGCGTCATGCTCGTTGGCCCCACCACTGGCGGCAAGACAGTGTGCTACAAGATGCTGGCCGGCGCCATGACCAAGCTGAGGAAGGAGGGCCACCCGAAGGAGGACTACCAGGTTGTGCACTACAGTGTGCTGAATCCCAAGTGCATCACCATGGGCGAGCTTTATGGCGAGTTCAACGAGCTCACGCAGGAGTGGACCGATGGGCTTGGATCCACTATTATGAGGTCTGCAAGCACTGGACGCAACGACTAGATACAGGCGATTCCTCTCTTCTCTGCTGCAGGGGCTATGTCTCTGAGGAGACTCCCGACAAGAAGTGGACCATCTTTGACGGGCCAGTCGACGCTATCTGGATCGAGAACATGAACACCGTACTCGACGACAACATGACCCTCTGTCTTGCCAATGGCGAGCGCATCAAGCTCAAGCAGGAGATGCGGATGCTCTTCGAGGTGCAGGACCTCGCTGTGGCCTCCCCTGCTACAGTGAGCCGATGTGGGATGGTCTACCTCACGCCGTCTGACTTGGGATGGAGGCCGTATGCCAAGACTTGGCTGCACAAGTGAGAGAGCAGACAGCCAGCTGCCAGGGACTTGTTGAATCAAATCGTTTTCATGTCTCTACACCTAAATGCAGTCTCCCAACAGGCCTCTTCAGTGAAAATCTGAAGACCAAGATATGGGATCTCTTTGAGGCGCATGTTGACAAAGGTCTGGCGTTCGTCCGCAAGAACTGCGTCGAGCCCGTGGTATCGGTGGACAACAATCTCGTCTACTCGCTCTGCAATCTCTTCCACGCCGTCCTCAATCCGAATGCCGGCACTCCAAACGGCATCGCCTCAGGTGCGACCACAGGCGGTGTCTTACTTTGATGTGTCACAAACGCTTTCACTTGATGGCTGGTGTGGTGTGTTCAGTCGACGCAGAGGACGGAAAGCCGGCAGTGGATGTGACGAAGAGTGGCGAGAAGTTTGTCGAGAGCCTAATTCCCATGGTGTTTGCCTTTGCCTACACGTGGGCCCTCGGGGGATCGCTCGACACTCTGACACGGGAGAAGTTCGCCAAGTTTGCAGAAGACCAAATGGGAGAGGTAAAAGACACAAAAGCGACTTTTGCTACTGAGATGCATTTCATAATCGATCAGGGCGTGCAATGGCCGAGGGGAGGAGGTGTCTATGACGGCTTCGTGGACCTCAAGTTCGGCAAGATTCGAGCCTGGGACGAAATACTTCCAACCTTCCACTACACGCCTGACGCATCCTACTTCAGCCTTCTTGTCCCTAACAAGGACACAGTGCGTTTCGCCTATGTTTTAGACCGAATGATACACCAGAGAGCGTCCGTCTTCTTCACAGGTCAATCCGACACAACAGAGACTAGACTCCTTTGTGGATCCGTGACTCTACCCCCTCGTGTCGTGCAGGTGTGTCTGGTATCGGCAAGTCTGTGATTGCGGCCAACCTGCTGGACAAGCTCAAGGCTGCCGGGAGGGTGTCGCCCATCTTCATGACTTTCTCCGCACAGACCAAGGCCATCGAAAGCCAGCTCACCATCGAAGGCAAACTGGAGAAGAAGAGAAAGACGCTGGTAAGCAGGGCTGATCCAACCACTTTGCACAGACACAGGCACAGGCACAGGCACAGACAGACGAGCATACTTTGTTCTCCGGTCCTTGACAGCTCGGCGCTCCCCCGGGTGTGGATCAAGTGGTCGTCTTCGTGGATGACGTCAACATGCCGGCCGTCGAGACATACGGCGCACAGCCTCCAATCGAGCTGCTGCGACAGTTCCAGGACTTCAAGGGCTTCTACGACCGGAAGAAGCTGTTCTGGAAGGAAATCGAGAACACCATGCTGCTTCTGTGTGCCGCGCCTCCCGGTGGTGGCCGCAACGAACTCACACCCCGGTTCGTCCGCCACTCCCACATCCTGTGCATGCCGGCCACCTCTGAGGAGGCCATGACGGTCATCTTCATGCACATCATCCAGGGCTTCCTGGCGCAGGGCTTCAAGTCAGAGGTTGCGCTGCTGTCTCGACCAGTCGTGGAGTCGACCATCGGTAGGTAGGCCACCAAGGAGCCGTGGCGGCAAGAAGCAGACATTTGCAATGTCTCTCCGTGTGGCTTCTGTGTCAGAGATCTACACACGGATCAGTGCTGAGCTGCTGCCGACGCCCGCCCGGTCGCACTACACCTTCAACCTGCGTGACGTGTCCAAGGTCTTCCAGGGGGTGCTCATGGTCAAGCCCATGCACGCCACATCAGCCGATGCCTTCACGCGACTTTGGATCCACGAGACAATGAGGGTCTTCCATGACCGCCTCATCGACGAAAACGACAAAGGTGAGCACATGGGCCCTTGGACGTGTGTTCTGTATCTATGTTTCAATGTTCGTGCGCTAGGCTGGTTCCGTGACGCCATGATCAAGCTTCTGCAGGGCAAGTTCCGCCTCCAGTGGACGGCCGATGACACATTCATTAACAACACCATCATGTGGGGCGACTACCTGCGGCCTGGCGCTGATCAACGCGTTTATGAGGAAGTCAAGGACATGGGCAAGGTGAGTCGACACGGAAAAGCAGCTTTTCGAATACGCCACAGCCCCTTTCACCATGTGTGCCACCCACAGGTCGCGAAGCTGCTGGAAGATTACTGCGACGAGTACAACTTGACCCACTCGACGCCGATGAATCTGGTCTTCTTCAAGGACGCCATCGAGCACGTGTCTCGCATCGCACGCATCCTTAGACAGCCACGCGGCAACGCCATGCTTGTCGGTGTCGGAGGTTCAGGCAAGCAGTCCTTGACGCGGCTTGCTGCTTCCTTGTCCGAAATGGAATCGGTAATCAAGCAGCGACGGCGGAAGAGACTTGCAAAATCGGTGGCCTTTGACTTTTCTCTTTTAGTGTGAGGTGGCTGTGGTAAAGGGGTATGGTGTGGATTTATTCCGCGAGGACGAGAGGAAGTTCATGCTGAAGGCGGGCGGGGGTGAGGGCAAACCCACGACATTTCTCTTCACCGACAGCCAGATAATCGACGAGACATTCCTTGAGGATATCAACAACATTCTCAACGCAGGGGAGGTGCCCAACCTTTTCCCTAGCGATGAAGTCGATCGCATCGTCAATGATCTCAGACCAATCGCAAAGGAAAAAGGAAGGTAAGCCGGTCATTGGACGCTCTCCATCAACCTTTTTGTCTCGTCTTATTGTTATGGTTTGTAGGTCTGAGGGTCGGGATCCCGTGTATCAGTTTTTCGTCGAGCGTGTGCGTGAGAATCTCCACATCGTCCTGTGCATGTCCCCCGTCGGCGATGCCCTCCGTATCCGGATGCGCATGTTCCCGTCCCTCGTCAACTGCTGCACTATCGACTGGTTCCATCCGTGGCCAGAAGATGCCCTCAAGAGTGTCGCAACGCGTTTCCTCGCCAACCTGCAGGTCGAACAAAGGCGCCTACGCGGTCATCTGTTCGTGATTGCTTTGTCTGAGTGTGTTTTCAGGTTGATGAGCCGATCAAGCACGGTCTGATTGACATGTGCAAGACTGTCCATATGTCTGTGATCGAGACGTCGCATGTCTTCCTCGAGCGCCTGAGGAGACACGTTTACGTCACACCCAAATCCTATCTGGACCTCATCAGCCTCTATCTCAAGGCGAGCGACATACCCATCTGACAACAGCAGCAAGACCAGTGTCTGTATACAAGAATGCCTGCCTTCATCAGATGCTTGAGGAGAAGACAGAGCAGCTCAGCACGCAGCGCAATCGCCTTGCAGTGGGCGTGACCAAGCTGGAAGAGACCAACAAAGAAGTCGCCAATCTCAAAACGGTACTCGCCAACAAAGAAGAGTCGATCGCACAGCCTCGTACGTACTCACGCCATCGTTTTTTCCCACAGGAGTTGACAGCGCTTGAGCCTGTGCTGAAGCAGAAGAAGCAGGAGGCCGAGGAGCTCTTGGTGGTCGTCACCGAGGATCAAAAGAATGCCGACATCGAGAAGGCAAAGGTGAGAGACCATGCATGTGGATTTTCATGCACGAGACACGAAAACTGCTGCTTTCTTGTTTCTTGCCAGGTCGACGAAGAGGCCAAGATCGTCGGAGCCCAGGCCGAGGAGGTGGCAGCATTGCAGGCCGATGCTCAAAAGGACCTGGACGTCGCCATGCCTGCACTCAACGCTGCACTCGGTCAGAAGAAAAGGTGATACGTGTTTTTCTTTCTGACGGGCCTCTCGTCTCTCCTGTTTCTTCTCAGCTGCCCTCGATTCGCTGGACAAGAAGGACATCACTGAGATCAAGTCCTTCGCCAAGCCGCCACCCCTGGTCATGATGACTATGGAGGCCGTCAACATCCTCCTCAGTGAAAAGCCAGACTGGGACTCGGCCAAGAAGGTCCTCTCCGACACCGGCTTCCTAGCCCGCCTCAAGAACTTTGACAAAGACAACATCCCGCAGCCGATCCTCAAGAAACTCGAGAAGTACGTGCAGAAGCCGGAGTACTCTCCCGATAGCGTCGGCGCGCAGTCCAAGGCGGCGAAGTCTCTGTGCATGTGGACACATGCTATGGACACCTACTCAAAAGTTGCCAAGGAGGTCGAACCCAAAAAGCGAAAGCTTGAGGAGATGAATGCTCAGGTATGTATGTGTGAGATGGCAAAGGACTGACATCAGTTGTTCGATTTGTGGCTCGTGCGTGTGTCAGTTGGATGCTGCCAACGCGAAGCTCAAGGAAGCAAAGGAGAAGCTGCAGTCTGTGTTGGACAAGGTGGCTGCTCTGGAGAAGCAGCTGGAGGACACGAACAATGAGAAGAACAGACTCATCCACGAGGCCCAGCTCACGGAGGCCCGGCTTGTGAGAGCAGGGCAGCTGACAGGCGGCCTTGCAGACGAACAAGTAGGCCCACACCGTGCTCGAGTGTGGCGCACTTGTGAGCATGTCGTATGATGTTCTTGTCCAGGTGCGGTGGAAGGAGTCAGTGGACATGATGGCCGGCCAGATTCGCAACCTCATCGGCGATGTCTTCCTCTCAGCTGCATGCATATCATACTATGGCCCATTCACAGGCCAGTACAGAGATGAGATTGTGGCCAAGTGGCTGGAGAAGACACATGAGCAGAGCGTCCCTGCCTCTGATTCCTTCGACCTCAAGGGCATCATGGGCAATCCAGTGGAGCTGAGAGACTGGAACATCAAGGTATGAGTCGTGCAGACGGTGATCAGCAGCTCCTTGTTTGGTTTTAATCTGTGTCCAGGGTCTTCCCTCTGATGACGTGTCTCTCAACAACGGCATCTTGGTGTCACGCGGCACCCGCTGGCCTCTCATGATCGACCCGCAAGCGCAGGCCAACAAGTGGATCAAGAACATGGAGTCACCCAACGGCATCAAGATCACCAAGCTGGCAGACCCCAGGCTGCTCAACATCCTTGAGGCATGCATCAGACTCGGACAGCCCATGCTGGTGCGCTGCTGACAGAGACAGACATGTCGACAGCCATCAAAACAGTGAGTGCCTTGCAGATTGAGGACATCGGTGAGCAGCTTGATCCCGCTTTGGAACCAGTGCTCGCAAAGGCGGTTTTCGACAACAATGGGCGGCTGCAGATACACCTCGGTGAGCATGCAGGGTTTCGTGGCTGTCCCAGCCTATTCAACAAATGTGCAAATTTTCCTTCAGGCGACTCTGACGTGGATTACGACATGCATTTCAAGTTTTACATGACGACCAAGATGCCCAACCCGCACTATCTACCGGAGGTGTGCATCAAGGTGACCGTCATTAACTTCACCGTCACCTACGACGGCCTGACGCAGCAGTTGCTGGGTGATGTGGTCAAGAAGGAGATACCCGAGACAGAGGAGAGGAACACCAAATTGATCCTACAGATGGCCGAGGACAAAGCCACACTCAAGGGACTGGTAACACTCCCACATCAGAAAGCGGATGTATGATTCTTGATGTCTCTCTGTTCGTGTTTTCAGGAGGACACCATCTTGCGTCTCCTGTCTGAGTCATCTGGCGAGATCCTTGACGACATTGAGCTCATCAACACACTCAGCCAGTCCAAGGTCACTGCCAACGACATCAACAAGCGAGTAGAAGAGTCAGAAATCATGGCGGTCGAAATCAAGCGCGCTCGTGAGCAATACACCCCAGTGGCCATCCGCGGCTCCATTCTCTACTTCGTCATTGCTGATCTCGCCAACATCGACCCCATGTACCAGTTCTCGCTAACCTATTTCACGCGCCTCTTCAACAAAGTCATTGACTCGTCGGCCAAGCGTGACGTGTTGGAGGAGCGGCTAGCCATTCTGGTTGAAAACATCACCTCGGTCATCTACAGCAACATCTGTCGCGGTCTCTTCGAGCGCCACAAGCTCATCTTCTCCTTCATCATTGCCATGCAAATCCTGAGACAGGAGGAAGAGAAGATCAACGCAGCGGTAGGCGTCTCAAGCAAACTGCTTCTGGAAACATCGCCTCATGTCTCTTGCTCTTCACAGGAGTGGAGTCTCCTGCTGCGAGGTCCAGGTCTTCTCAGCACCAAGGACATGCCCAAGAAGCCCGACCAAGCCCTCATTTCTGACAAGAGCTGGCTCTTCCTCTATGGCGCCCAGTGCATGGCCACTTGCTGCTCCGACATCTGCCAACACATCAAGGACAACCTAGAGGCCTGGAGGGAGTGGATTGCCGCCGCAGAGCCGCAAGAGGTGCCACTGCCGGCAAGATATGAGGAGGTCAATGAGTTGTTGCCCTTCCACAAGCTCTTGGTCATCAAGGCGCTGAGGGAGGAAAAGGTCTCTTTCGCCGTCGCGCAAGTGGTCGAGAAGCGCCTGGGTCGCAGCTTTGTCGAGGTGGCTCTGCCACGGATGGAGGAGATCTATGCCGACACCACATCAGCCACCCCGGTCATCTTTGTGCTCTCAACGGGAGCTGACCCCACAGGCATGCTCCTTCGATTTGCATCGGAGAAGGGTATCCCTGACGATCGGCTGGGCAAGATCTCGCTGGGACAGGGGCAAGGCCCTCGGGCCAAGAAGCTCATCGAGCAGGCATCGAGAGACGGCTCGTGGGTACTGTTGCAGAACTGTCACTTGGCCAAGTCGTGGATGCCACAACTGGAGAAGATCGTTGAGGGCTTCCCTGAGGACCCCACACTCCACCCCGACTTCCGTCTGTGGCTCACATCCATGCCTGCGCCATACTTCCCGGTCCCTGTGCTGCAAAATGGCGTCAAGCTCACCAACGAGCCGCCGAAGGGCATCCGCGCAAATGTCAAGAGGTCGCTGATGGACACCACTGAGGCCGAGCTCGAAGGTTGCTCGAGGATCCACGAGTGGAAGAAGATCCGCTTCGGCCTGCAGTTCTTCCACGCTATCGTGCAGGAGAGGAGGAAGTTCGGGCCGCTCGGATGGAACGTGCGGTATGAGTTCAACAACAGCGACCTGGAGACTTCTGTGACTGTGCTCAAGAACATCCTCGAGGGGCCCTTCGAGAAAGTGCCGTTCGACACGCTGCTCTTCGTCATCGGTCAGATCAACTACGGGGGTCGCGTGACGGATGACCTCGATCGGCGGCTGCTGATGAGCATCCTCAACAGATACGTCACGAATAGCATCCTGGAGGACGACTATGTCTTCTCAGAATCCGGTGAGTTCACTTCGCACCAGGGACTTATGGTTTCCTGATTCGTCTCTCCATATGCGTATCAGGCACCTACAAAGCCCCAGTCGACGGCGACCTTGCAGCCTACGTGTCTTATGTAGAGCAGCTGCCTCTGTCCGACTCCCCCGAGATATTCGGGATGCATGACAACGCCAACATCAACTTCCAAAAGCAGGAATCAGACGCTGTACTGACCACTGTGCTGTCCATACAGCCAAGGTAGGCACTGACGAGAGCACAGAGTAGGGTGTATTGCGTCCGCCTCTCATGTGTGTGCCGATGCGTCTTAGAGAGGGGGGTGGCGGCGGGGGCAAATCGCCCGACCAGATCGTCCTGGAAGTCGCCGAGTCGATCTCAGGACGAGTGCCAGCAGTAAGGACAACGATATGGCCCAATCACCCATCGGCAATAATATTGGTCGCGCCTCAATGTGTGCAGCTGCTGAGTGAGGAGGGTGCCCACCCATCTGCCTTCGCTAAGAATGCAGAGACGGGCATCATGGAGTCGCTCGGCACGTGTCTCACACAAGAAATGCAGCGATTCAACAAGTAAGGGAGCCTTTTCTGGTCTCCAGACGCACACACACATGATGTGTTTCGCTGCCTTCACAGGCTGCTGAGGAAAATGTCGTCTTCCCTGTCTCTGCTCAAGAAGGCCGTCAAGGGTCTGATCGTCATGTCGGAGGATCTCGACCTCATGTACGGCGCCTTCCTCAACAACCAGGTACCGTCTGTGTGGTCCAAGGTCGCCTACCCTTCGCTCAAACCACTGACGTCCTGGTTCGAAGACCTCATTGAACGGGTGGGTGAGCGGCCATCATCAGGCCATCGTAATGGCTGCTTGCCATTTGGTACTACAGGTCAAGTTCTTTGCTGCATGGATCGAGACGGGGAAGCCGCGTGCCTTTTGGATTTCGTCATTTTTCTTCCCGCAAGGGTCTGTTAAAGCGTTGCAGAGAGTTTCCGTTCCATGTCTCTCTCTTGTGTGTTTGTGGCTGCAGGTTTTTGACAGCTGTGCTGCAGGCCTACTCTCGTAAGTATCAGGTGCCCATTGACATCCTCTCCTTTGAGTTTATTGCTCAGCAATTCCAGGACGCACAGTAGGCGAACAGGCAGTTGTTGATCGACCTTGTGATTATCTCGCCGTTGTGTATGTCCGCAGGGAGATCGAGGAGCCGCCGGAAGAGGGCTGCTACATCTACGGCATGTTCTTCGACGGCGCGAGGTGGGACTTCGACAAGATGGTGATTGAGGACCAGCTGCCGGGTGTCATGTACGAGCCCGCACCCATAGTGCACTTCCAGCCGTGCGAGCACTACAAGCCCAACCCGTCGGACTACACATGCCCACTATACAAGACATCGGTCCGAGCGGGCACCCTGTCCACCACAGGTGAAATGACAGCATACGGACAGGGCAACGTGGGTGAGAGAACGTGTCTCTCCATATCTGTGCTGTTCTGTGTTTGTCAGGTCATTCGACCAATTTCGTGATAGCTATTGAGATCCCGACCGAGAAGCCCCCTGACTACTGGGTGCTCAAGGGAGCCGCATTCCTTTGCATGCTCAATGACTGACCTTCAGAGGTGGGCGGCCGCTCCTGCATCCATGGGGCCTTTTGCTTGCTCTTGGATTTCTGGCTTCCGGCGGGTTTCCACTCAGTCTGCTCTGGCCATTGTGCTCGCCAAGCAGTCAGACGAGCTGCCGCAGGCAGCGCTTTGCTCTGTTGCCTGTTGCTGCCGTTTCTTATGGGGGATTCGTTCAGCGTTTGCATTTCTTCGTGAGACTCTTTATTGGGCGAGGTGCTGATGGGGGAGGTTCGCGTGCAGCATTTTTATGGGCTTATTTGTCGTGTGTTGTTTGTGCGTGGCGAGACCAACCGATTGCAAACATGCATGTGTGTCGACCCTCATTGACGCAAGTGTACAGTCCGTGTGTGTCAATCAGTATCGTTGGTTGAACTCACTCTCACCACGAAGGAATGTATGTCACACTCACAGGCGCAGACACACACACACACAGACACACACACGAGCAACCTTCAAGCACACCCATAGGGTCACGCCCGCTCAGACAAAGAAATGACTACGATTGACGAAACAGACTCACGAGGCTTGCCGATGGCATCAGAAATCACAACACCGCCCACCCACTCAACAACGCAATCCTATGCAGCCCTCTACTCCTCACCCCCAACGCCACCTTCCATCGATATCGTCTGGCGGTGTCGATTTTGGGGTTTTCCTGTAAGACGCACCTCCACCAGACGGACAAGCCGAGCTCGGCGACTCGCTCGCTCTTCTGCAAACTCAGCTGCACCAGCCACCGAGATGGCTGACGACGCCGAGGCGCTGCTGTTGGGGGCCTGGGGGTCTTCAAAGTCGATGACTTTCCACGTCTAGCCGTCCTCGTCTGTCCTGACGACGCGATGCTCCAGTGTCCATCGACCACTGCAGCAGAGAGGAAGAGAGAACACAGAGTGTGCGGATCCCTCTGTGTGAATATGTGGTTGTGTCGGGTGGGTACCTGTCTGTCTGCCCTTTGCACGTGGCGGCGAGGTGCTGCTCGTCCATCTTGATGCGGACATCCCGCGCACCGGTGTCCGGCGGCCCAATGACACTCACTGTCAGCCCATTAAGGCGACTGAGACCTGACCGCAAGGAAAGGGACCATGCATCTGTGTCATGCTGTCCATCCCTCCCTCCCTGACCAGTAGTATCTGTCAGTGGCCCGTCATTGCTCGTCAGATCCGCTGGCCAGGCCGCCTGGCCTTGTACACAGTGGGAGGGCCCCTGTCCATGTCCATCAGCTCTTCGGCAGGCCACTCATCGCTTCGCTTATCATCATCCAGGCGAGAAGGGGTAGCAGCACTCCCCGACGGCCGGAGGAGTGCCTTGTCTTTCTGCCGCCACCGTCTGCGCATCGAATCTCGTGACTGTCGGCTGTCTGTGGCTGCTTGCTTCTTCTTAATTATCGTCACTCACGTCGGGTGGTCCGATTTGCAGTGATCAATGGGCCTGGCCATGGATGGAAAGCGACGCCGCGCAGATCGCCGAGCTCGCGAATAAGCTCGCCTTTTGATGTACGGATTGGAGTGTTGTACGGCGAATTGCACTCCGTGAGTGCCCCGGGGAGGTCGGCCCCCTCGATAGACGCCTCGGCTGTCAGAGAGGCCATTGCTCATTCGATTCTGCTCGACAGATCTCTCTGGTAAGCAGCACATAGATGCCGAGAGAGATGCACACACACACAGCTCTGTGCCGGGCAGTGTGCCCTTCTTGTCAGCCGTGTTTGAGAGTGTCGCCATGGCAGCGGCTTCATCTTCGTCTGCTTTGCCTGACGACGATGTCAGTCAAAGCACAACCACCACACACTCATCAATGTCAGAGCATCGCTGACTCATTCGCTCCTTCACTTGACTGTTCGGTTCGTCAGGCAATGGCGTCCTCTGCGCCGTGCCGTTACAAAGAGGGCAGTCGTGTGCAGATGGTGACCAACGGGCGGGAGAAGGGCAAGCAGAGGTGGGTCAAGGCCGACGTGTATCGCATCGAGGAGGGCAGTGGACGGACGGCGCTTCACTTGAGGGAGGTGGGCGGACACCAAGAGGAGCTCAAACAAGTGGTGCCACACAGCAAGACCACGACATCACCGCATGGCCAACAGGTACACGCGACGTCCACACGTCCACTCACTCACCGGATGTGTGTGGTGTGTGTACGTCCAGGGGCATGGTGGCTTCCGCCTCACTCACAAGAACTCTGCTGATCAGGATGATAACAGAATGGTACACACACACAGCCACACTCGTGACGCGGCTCACTCTCATGCTCTCCCTAAATCAGGCCCCTGGTGGTCTTGGCGACGACCACCTGTCCTGTGTCTTCAGCTTCATGACCCCTCGAGAGCTGTCGGCTGTGCCAACCCTCTGCAAGCAGTGGCCGCAAGTCAAGGGGGCCTTCCACCAGCAGACACACATCACCATCGACTCTTCTACCGAGGGCGACCGTCACTTCTGGGAGAGCCTGACGCCTGAGCAGGCCTTCCAGCTCGGCAAGTGGCTTGTCAACCTGACGGCCATCACCCTCGTGCAGCCGCGCCGCAAGCAGTGGTGGTGTCTGGGCAGCATGATAAGCATCGTGGAGGGCCATGCGGCCGGACGTCGGGCGGCGTGCGAGAAGGAGGGGCAGCAGCTCATGGCGGAGGGATCGCTGGAGACCATCGACTTCACCACCGCCACCGACCAATTGCTCAACTCCACCACCAGCCCCAGGCCCCCGGTTTTTCGCCTTCCTCCCCCCACCGAGCCCCCCACCATCCATGCCCTCAGGGCCGTCACTGGTGCCGTCGGCGAGCACTATTACGGTAAGCTGGCCGACAGGGGCTGGAAGATGCCCGCACTCGAGCGTGTGCATCAGGACGGGTGGGATGCCAAGCAGCTCGGCCGCTTCGTCAGCTCGTCTCAGTCGCTGAAAGAGGTGGAGGGGCGTCGGCGGTCATGGGAGTGGTGGGCGGCTGTGTTTGAGCACTTCCCCATCGCATCCGCCCGCCAGCCGGGGCCGCTCAGACAGCTGCAGACCATCGGAGGGATCGCATATGAGGGCTTCGAGGGGGAAGTGAGACGACTGCAGGTAGGCAATCATCACACAGGGGAGGCCTCATCTGTTGTGCACACACACACGGATCGCGTCCTTCTCTCTTTGTTTCTTTGTAGGATGTGCTCACATCGCGTGGCTGCCGCAAGTCGCTGAGACGGCTCGACGTGGGTGTCCCTCGAATTGAGGGCCACCACAGCCTCTCCGCCCTGCTGGCTGTTGACGACTTCATCAACACATGCTGCACCTCGCCGGACGTCCCGCTCACCGTGAACGTCACGCCGAGTGAATTCGACCTGTCCCTATTCTACGCCGACGAGTTCCCCCTTCGCCCCTCCCCCTTCATCAAGGCGGCCATCCAGGAGGCGGCACGGCAGACGACGGGTGTGACCTACACCATCAGCCAGAATGACCTCACCCACCCCATCGACAGCCCCAGCCAGGCGGCCGGCGAGATCGCATCGAGTCTCTCATTCGACAACGTGTCGAGCGTGATGGTTCACGATGCCAATGGCTTCGACCCCCCTCCCGGCACCACCCCACCCGCCCCCGACATCATCAACCACCTGCAGCCGATCCCAAGGGTCCATGAGCTGTGTGTCTGGAGCGCTGTGGGCGGTGCTGCGGGCCGGCTGTTGGCGCAGAAGATGCCTATGGAGGTGGAGTGGGTGGTATTTCATGCAGCGGTCAGTGCACAGGACAGGCTCGGCGTGCTGGAGGGATTGGGGGAGGAGAGGGAGGTGGGCATTATCGACGGGTTAGGGGATGCGGTGGGCGAGGTAGATCCGGTCACTCTCACTGAAGAGCTCTTTGACGGCTGGGGGTCGAATCGTCTGCCATCGATCAGCAACATAGGCATGCGCTTAGCAGGTATGCCCGGAGGGCAGTGAGTGCAGGAATGTGCTCCATCATCTGTGTGTGTCCATCCGCCTTGTCTATGTGTCGTCATTCAGTGCCCCATGAGATGGAGGCCTCTGCCGCCGCGAACATCATCCGCGACGGCCTGTCGTCTCTGCTCACCGCCGGTGTCCGCGGCCTGAGGCGTGTGTGGGTATGGCTGCCGGATGAGCCTGACGATCTTGTCGATGGCATTCGTGAGCTGCTCCCCGACGGCACTCGAGTGGGCGGCTTCACCATCAACACACGGGATGATGATGATTTTGAGGATGGGTACATTGCAATGGTGGTGGCAACTCGTGACCCCTAGACGGTGAGAGCAAGATACAGGCAGACTATCTGTAGTTCCGCTGTCAATTTGCGTGTGTGTGTGTGTGTGTGGTTTGGCCAGGCAATCTGTCTGTCTGACAGCATCGTACTGTAGCTGCTGCCGGGTCCATCTGTATGTCTGGACGGACGAACGGATGGATGGATGGATCAGTTTGAAGATGCGGGACTCCTTATGTAATACTCGTTAATAATCCTTCCCTCCACACACTGAGATGGATACACACTGCATTTCAGTGATGGCAACGCAGCTCACAAGCCACACAAGAAGCATGACCCTCTCTCCATAAAGGCTGTGCGAACGATTGACAAGAAGGGCCCAAATAAAGATGTTTGCGACTCAGTGCACGCGCAAGAAGGCCTTAGGGACGTGGAAGCCGGTCGGTACAAATCTGTCCTGTATTCGACATAGATACAACACTAACGTATATATGTAACACAACTATGTACGCATAGAGAGCAAAGGCGAGGCGAGGAAGATACATCCCCCTGCCATGCCAGTCTGTCTGTCTGTCTGCTGGTTGTGTGTGACACATAGGTAGATGGGTGCACACCCTGACGGCGGCTGGACAGAGGAAGATGAGTCAGTCAGTGGGCGTTCTCGTCTCCTCGCTCTCCTCGTCGTCGTGGATATTTCTGTGGATATGTGGTTGTGTCGGGTGGGTGCCTGTCTGTCTGCCCTTTGCTTTTGACGGTGAGGTGCTGTTGGTCCAGGTTGATGTGGACGTCCCGCGCACCGGTGTCTGGCGGCCCGATGACGCTCACCGTCAGGCCATAACGCGGCTGAGTCCTGAATGCAACAAAGGAAGCCACCCCTCTGTGCCGTCATCCATTTGCTTGTCCCTCCCTCCCTCTCTCCCTGACCGGTGGTATCTGACAGGACCCCGCCATTCCTCGTCAGATCCGCTGGGCCAGGCCGCCCTGTCAGTCTCTCTCCATCGGCTCGTCGCCAGGCCACTCACCGCCTCGCCCGTCATTACCCGCGGCAGATCTTCGATTCCCTCGACTCGTGGCGGGGCGGGGGGAGGGGTAGCAGCAGCAGCCACTTCAAGTTGCCGACGGCTGGATGAGGGACTTGTCCTTTTCTGCCGCCCACCGTAACGTCAACTCTTTGCGGCATCAAATCTCGTGACTGTCGGCTGTCTGTGGCTGCTTGGTTCTTCTCCATTGTCGTCGCTGACGTCGATGTGGTCCGATTTGCAGTGATGAATCGGCTTGGTCATGAATAGAAAACGACGCCTGGCAGATCGCGAGCTGGCGAATAAGCTCGCCCTTCGATGAATAGGATGCGTTGTACAGCGAATTAGCCTTCATTGAGTCGGCCTCCTCGATAGTAAGCCTCGGCTGACACAGAGGCCATCGCTCATCGGATTCTGCTCGGCAGATCTCGCCGGTAAGCCGCACACGAATGACGAGAGAGATGCTGAGAGTGATGCCTACCACTGTCCTCTTCTCGTCAGCCGCGTTTGAGAGTGGCCCCATGGCAGCGGCGGCAGCAGCATCATCTTCGTCTGTTCGGCCTCAAGCAGAAGTGAGCAAGGCACACACAACCGTGAGGCGCAAATGATTCGTTCATTTGTTTGGTCATTTCTTTGTGGTTTGTTTGTTTCATTCGTCAGGCGATGCCGTCCTCTGCGTGTAGTCGTAACCAGGAGGGCACCCGTGTTGTGTTGCTGTCGAGCACCAAGAGGGCTCCGACCAATGACTACGTGTGGGTCACGGCCAGCATACATCACATCGACCCACACGTGGTCTACGAGAAGGCGGGCACTCTGCACGAGGGGACGGCGCTTTACATGAGGGAGGTCGGCGGATGGGGGGAGGAGTTCAAAGTGGTGGTGCCGCACCAGACCAATCCAGACACACACACGAACCCACAGCCACCCGTGGTAGGCAAACACACCTCAACAAAAGCTCCCGGACAGCACTCTGTGATGCTTGGTGCTTTGGTGTGTTGTGTGATGTGTGTGCAGGTGTGGAATGTTAGCAAGAAGGTACACACAGCCACACACAGCACACGACCGATGTCCTCCACTCTCATGGAGCCTCTCGTCTCCCTTTGTCGCTTCTCTGCTTCAGGCTCCTGCTGGTTTTGGCGAGGACCTTCTGGCGTCGCTCTGTAGCTTCATGACCCCTCGCGAGCTGTCGGCCATCTTCCCACCCCCTCGCAGCGCCGACTCCCTCATGGCATCGTCTTCGGCCCTGCCGTCGACCACTGCCGGTCCGCTCTTTGCGGGCGCCGCCTTCGGACCCCTCAAGGGCCAGACCACAGCTGCGGCCAAAGAGGACACGGCCGACGGGGCGCCGCCGGGTGCGGCATCGCTACTCTCTCTGTTTGGCGGACAATCTCTGATCGGCACATCGACGGGACAAGGGGGCCTGTCGAGTGCAGCTGCAGCTGCGTCATCTGGCGGTGGTCCCTCGTCGTTGCTCTTCACAGTTGGCGCAGCCACACCTGCCGTCAAACCAAGGTCCCGCGCCAAGCGCATCAGTGCCGCCCCTTCACCCGCCTCGGCTGCCGGCCTCACCAACACCATCATAGCCCCAGGAGACCTCTTTGGCGGCAGCATCTTCGCGCCTGCCAAAGCACCATCCAAATTGCCACCATCTGCAGCACAGTCGACAACCACACCCACCAGCGGCCCATTCGAGCTCGGCAAGGCATCCACAGGGAAAGGAGGTGGCGACCTGCTTGGTGGCGGGGCGGCAGCGTCGGGGGGCACGTTCAGCGGCACTGGCAGAGGGAGTCTGTCTGGCCAGGGCGGGGCTGCCACGGGGACGGGCGGCATATTCGGCCCGTTCAGCGGTAGCATCATCTCTGGCGGCACTGGTGAGTGTGTGACGTCACGGAGCAACACACACATGGATGGATGGATGGATAGATGGATGGATGGATGGGCCCATCTCCTGCTGCATGTCTGTGTGTGTGGAACGATCAGCTGTGGTGGCGTCGAATTCATTCAGTGGACCGTCATTCTCAGCTCGGGGCGGCATGTTTGGCGGTGCGGCCTTCGGGCAGCAATCATCCTTTGGTGCCACACAGAGCAGCCTCTCCCCCATCCACACGGCAGCCCTTCACCAGCAGACACACATCACTATCGACTGCAGCGACGAGGACGACCGTTACTTCTGGGAGAGCATGACGCCTGAGCAGGCCTTCCAGCTCGGCAAACGGCTCGTCAACCTGACGGCCATCACCCTCGTGCAGCCACGCGGCGACCGGTTGTGGTGTCTGGACACCATGATGAGCGTCGTCGAGGGCCATGCGGCCGGGCGGCGCGAGGTGTGCGAGAAGAAGGGCCAGCAGCACATGCCGAAGGGCAGCCTGGAGACCATCCACTTCACCACCGCCGACAGCCAATTGCTCAACTCCACCAGACCCAGCCCCCCCTCTCGCCTTCCTCCCCCCGCCCCGCCCCCCACCCTCCATGCCCTCAGCCCCACCCTTCATTCCCTCAGGACCGTCACAGGAGCCGTCCGACACCACAGTGTCCTTGCCCACAAAGGCTGGTGCATGCCCGCACTCGAGTATGTGGATCAGGACGGGTGGGATGCCGATGAGCTGGGCCAATTCATCAGCTCGTCGTCATCGCTGAAAGAGGTGGGGGGGCGTCGGCGGACCTGGGACGAGTGGGCGGGTGTGTTTGAGCACTTCCCCATCACACCCGCTGGGCAGCCAGGGCCGCTCAGACACCTGGAGCGCATCGGAGGGATCGAATGGTTCCGCGGGGACGAGTGGGGAGTCAGACGACTGCAGGTAGGCAGTTATTACACAGGCGAGGCATCATCCACTGGTGGTCTTCTCTCTTTGTTTCTTTCAAGGATGTGCTCACATCGCGTGGCTGCCGCAAGTCGCTGAGACGGCTCGACGTGGAGGTCTGCCCATTCGACTTCGATGACAGCCTCTCTGCTCTGCTGGCTGTTGACGGCTTCATCAACACATGCTGCACCTCGCCGGACGTCCCGCTCACCGTGACCGTTGTTTGCGATACGGCCTTCGAGCTGGCCCTCTTCTACGCCGTCGAGTTCCCCCCTCGCCCCTCGCCCTTCATCAAGACGGCCATCCAGGAGGCGGCACGGCAGGCAGACGAGGTGTATTGGAACTTTCTGAGCGAGCATGACATCACCCACCCCCTCAACAGCCCCAGCGAGGCGGCCATCGAGATAGCACAGAGCCTCACATTCGCCAAGGTGGAGTGGGTATCGGTTCACAATGCCGATGGCTTCGTTCCCCCTCCCGGCACCACCCCACCCATCCCGACCATCATCAACCACCTCCCGCCGTTCCCGCGGGCAAGAGAGCTGCGTGTCCACAGCGGACTGGTCGCAGCAGCTGCGGGCCGGCTGCTGGCAGAGAAGATGCCCAGAGAGGTGTTGCGGGTGGAATTTGGCAGAGGTGTGAGTGCAGAGGACAGACGCGGTGTGCTGGAAGGACTGGGGGAGGGGGGAGGGCTGCACACTGTCAGGGTAGGTGTGGAGTTGGGTGAGGTCAGGGCAGTCAGTCTCACGCAGGGCGGTGCCTTTGACGGCTGGGGGTCGAGTCGTCTGCCATCTATTCGAGAGATACGCATGTACTTAGAAGGTATGCCGCGAATGCCTGCAGCGAGTGAATCGAGGTGCTCGTCGGCTCATCATGTGTTTGTGTCTGTGTGCCGCCATCGTCAGTGTCCGATGAGTTGGAGCCCCTTGCTGCTGCCGAGCTCATCCGCAGCGGCCTGTCAACTTTGCTCACCGCCGGTGTCCGCGGCCTGAGGCGCGTAGGGGTGCTGCTGCTGATGCATGGCGGCCTTCACGACGCCATTCGGCAGCTGCTCCCAAATACGAGAATCGGCGACTTCTCAATTAGCACAACGGATGATAATGGAGACATAGTGGTGCAGGCAAAGCTCAGTGGCCGATGAGACGGGTGAGAGAGACCGACACTGTGCTGACTGTAACTTTGTCCATGGCACGCGCGTTGTGTGTCTGCCTGTGTGTGTGTGGTCCGGATGTTTGTCTGTCTGACAGCACCGTAGACGTAGCTGCCGCATGGCCGGCCCTCTGCATGTCTGTAGACACTCTCTTGACGCATGCCTGGACCAATGGGCGGACGGATGTCTGTGTGTCACTTCTCTATGCGAGTAGTGGCCCGCCCAGACCCTGTGTGTGCATTGAGCCTTCAATGTTGAGCTGCAGTGCCCACTGGCGCATCCGTGGCGTCACTGCACACGCAATCATTTCATTTATCAGGCGGAACTTGCCACCAAAGTGGTGGTGGAGGGGCTACGTCTCATCCACACGCACACCCACACCCACATGCGCATGCATCACATCATTTCAGTGCATGGAGGCTACCCATCCGTCCACCCACTGTTCCCCCACCCCTCTCTGCCCGGCTGCCTGTGTGTTTCGGCAAGCGGCTGTCGTGGAGGTCTGCAATAGTCTACAGCTACACCTACACGCACATCCCTCCCCCCAACGCCCTCCCCCATCTACTTGAGCAGGTCCTTGACGCGCTGCACCAGCACCGCCTTGGTGCCGCTCACCTGAGGCAGTGGACAACAGGACAGCCACGTGTGATGCATTGTGGCGATGGGTTGGCTGCGTCGGCTTTGTGTGCGGACGGACCGGCAGATTGTTCTCGCGGAGGAAGGCCTTGAGGTTGTCGTTGGTGAGCGTCTGAATGCTGTCGTCGGCTATCATCTCCTGGGTGTTGACGGAGAAACACACACCACACACACACAGACACACACACACAGACAGACAGACAGACAGACATACACATGGCCGCCCACATCCGAATAGCCAGGGTGCAGCTGACCTTCATCTTGTCTTTGGTGAGTGAGTCCGGGTCGATCTTGGGCTTCTTGGCACCGCCCCCGCCGCCGCCCCCGGCAGGCCGCTTCTTGCCGGCAGCCGGCTTGGGCACCAACTCGTCGCCATACACACTGCATAACACAACACATGGAGGGGTGGGGGAGTGGGTGGAGGGATGGGCGTGTTGTGTGTACCTCTGTCTGAATTTGATGGCGTCCTCGGGGAGGCTGCCCTGCATCATTGTGAGGGGGGGCGGCAGCACCTCCTGGGACATGCTGCTGGGCAACTCGTCACCCAACGCCAGACTCTGATGACACACACATAGACATGCATTACACACAGAAATTGGCATTGGAGGTGACGTATAGGCGTGTGTGTGTGTGTAGGTACCTCTATGGCCTGGTAGTGTCGCTGCAGCATCGGGTTGGGAATCTGCTGCGGATGGAAATCGTCAATCTTCATACCTGCACCAACACACACACACACACACACACACGTGTCCCCTCCCTGCCTCCCTGCCTCCCAGGGCACCTCTGATCATTTTTTTGGCGTTCTTGACCTGCTCGCGCCACTCGTCGTGGTCCTTGATGATGGCGTGTGGGTCGGCCTGGTCGGCCTCGGTGGCGTCTTGCGAGTCCATCACGGCCACGTGGTGGGTGCCGAGCTGCAGATGGCGGATGTCCTCGGCCCACGGCAGACCGATCAGGTGGAAGCCACTCGGCTCGATGTGCTTGACCAGCTTCTTGGACTCTCGCTGATGAGTGGAAGGACACACACAAACACACAGATGGGGGCGGGGGCTGTGGGTGGGGAGAGCGGAGGGGGGAGGAGCTCACCTGAGGCACCAGTGCGGCGAAGTACGGTGTGGCATTAGCGCGAGGGATGAGGCGGACGATGGCCACGACGTCCCTCTCGATCATCTTGCGGAGCAGCGCCGAGAAGAAGACGCGGGAACCCTTGACGCGATTCTCGTTCGGGTAGCTGACAACACACACGACACACGACACATGGACGGATGGGGCGTCTGTGTTGGGGGAGGGGGGTTGGGGGGATGGATTACATGAATTTGCTGTTTTCGACGATGTGGTCGAGTTTGATAGACGACTTGGGCTTGAACCCCAGCAGCTTCATACCGGGCTCGTCGAACTTCTGCACACACACACACACACACCGAGAGAGTGAGGCGCATCCGTCAACCATCTTGGCCTTGTGTGTGTGTGTGTGTGTGTCGTTGAGTGACTTAGTGACCTTGATTTGAGCTATTTCCTGTTTGCTGATCTTGACCTGCTCTCCGCCGTACTCGAAGTAGGTCTCAACGCTCTCAGGCAGCACAGACGCACCAGATAGGTCGGTACTGCACACACACACACACACAGAGCACACAAATGGGTGCAGGCGTCGTTGTGTTGTGTGTGTGTGA